CCCCAAAACCCCAAAACCCCAAAACCCCAATAGCAGAAATTCATTGAGAATAAGAGGAAACATTAAATGTAAAATATATTTTAATAGTGAAACTATCTTCATTATTTATTCGACTCAGTGGCCTCTTATTTGGCATCTAAAGTGAGCTGTTATTCAATCTATCCGAGCATTTTGAGATTTGCTTCATACTTTCTTGAGAAGTACTCCATATAAAAGTTAGCTCCATTCCAAATACTCATGATAGTCCAGATCAAAGTTAAAATGGTGTGAACCCAGAATGAGTTAAAAGCAATAATGGCAAAGCCAGAAGATAGAATAAAGAATCCAACATGGAAGGACATGAAGACAATTGGACCGAATTATGGGCCAGCCTTATCAAGAATCTTCTTAGCCCAAGCCTAGTTGTAGTAGTAGATATACATTGTTTCATAATTTCTTTCCTTGATTTTCTTCGAGGATATTATGAAGACTTTCATGTAATATAAGAATGCCCACAAAATGTAAACAGCAAATGGAATGAAGAACATTTTGAACAAGAAATTGAGGGTAAACTTTTCATTATCTTCATCTATGTTCAAGAAGTATCTCTCTCCCTCGGGTAGGCTTCTCTCATAAAAAAGAGTCGTCCATCTAAGATTATAAGAAGTTACTAATGGGATCAAATGAATAGCAATCGATGTAAGGTTGTCCAATTTGTGGAAGATCATAGAGTTCTTAAAAGCTGGAATAGCTAGTCCAAAGGGCCCATTTGCATAGACAAAGAATATTCTAAACAAGATATCATTCTTTGGATCTATAACTAGATAATAGATGATCAAAGTGTTAGCGAAGTAGCAAAAATCAAACAGATAATAATGCCATCTTTTTATTCTGTAGTTGAATAATCTGATCACAACTAACGTAGTTACAGTATAAATGTGGAAAGTGTAGTAATGCTTGTTAGGATATCTACCAAGCATATAGGTTGTAGCTATCAGTAACAATACTCCAACGATAAAGAATATCTTATCCATAAATCTTACAATGGGTGCTTTATTCATGTACTGCTCTAAAATTCTCTTTCGCTTCAAAAATTAAGCAGTAATCTTCTTCTTTTCAGCATCAATCTAGGACTGAACTTTGGACTTAATATTGTTCATTTTAGCTGATGTTTTGTAAGCTAATTAGATCGCCAAATTATCTGCGAGAGTAAGTATATTATCTAATTGATCCACGTCAAGCTGACCTAACTGATCAAGTTCTGATTAGAAATCCTTGAATGACTCATCTATATCTACAGATTTATGACTTTGAGATTTCGCCTTATTTGACTATGAACCTTCGTTGTTTTTGGCATCAGCACCAATTTTTTCTTTAAGTTCATCACTTCTAAAATGATCATCATCCATATCTCTATTCAAGATTTCTTCTGGCATAAATCCATTTGCGAAATCATCTAATATACTTCTCTAATGCTTAAGCTATGGCTTTTCATAGTCCCTTGAACCACTCTGAGCAAGAAAAGGTTGATTTTGTTCATCATCATCTTCTTCCATTAACTTAGATAACTAAGATGCTAATTTAAGCTCTAATTGTTGTTCAGACATTAATCTATCTTCTTTGATTTAATTAATACTTAAAAGATTTATCGATCTAATTTAAGATTTAACTGGGTATAAATCTTAAGAATTTGACAGTCTTAGGGGGGGTAAGGAAATCAATTTTGCTTAAGAAATCAACTTTCACTCATAATTAGGTTCAGCATTTTAAGGAAGAAATCACTCTTGTTAGGAGATAGGAGTTGAAGTATAGAGATTAGAGAAAGGATGAATGATATAGCATTGAATTATAATCAGAAAGTATGTACTGGTCAGTATAAAAATTTGCAAATCTATTGATTAATTTCTGAATTTAAAGGCCGGTAAAGTGATTCTGATAAGTATAATTTAATAAACAAACACAGACTATCATGAAGAGAGCAAACTCACACAAACATGAATCTATTGATTAGATTCCAGTATAGCAAGATTAGAACAATATACCTTAGTCTTTACCAGTTTTAGCAAACTAAAAATCAAATAACTCTCACAAATCAAAGGAAGAATCCAAGAGAAAAGCAAGCAAAAGTAAAGACAGAAAAGTTTCAAGATCAGAAAAGCAGCCGCCGAAATCACAAAATAAGAAGTAAGTAAGCAAATCTAAGGAAAAGGCAAAGCCAAATATACCTAAAAACATAAAGCCAAAGGAGGAGAAGAAGAAGAATAATAGAAAATTGCCAGCAAAAGACGCATAAGCTGATTTGAATATTGTAAATGGAAATATTATCTAGTAAAATGGGCACATTGATCATATCTAGTAGGATAACAATATCAACAATCAAATAGTACAAATGAATATGATTTAGAAACAGCATTCTTAAATAATAGATGGATAAGATGTATAGATATCAGCTAAGAAAAGGGCTCCAAAATAAAACAGAAGTAAGAAGGGCAAGGAAGAAGAAAAGAAAGCAGCTCAAGCAGATATACAAGATATCAATATTATCAATTAAAATAACAAAGCCATTAAAAAGTAAAAGTCTAATTAAAAATAATAGATTGAAGCTCCTAAATAAAAAAGATAAAGATAGCCATAGATTGATGCTGTGCCAGCAATCAAGAAATCACAATCAGTTGCTAGGGCTCCACCAAGGAAGAGACAGCGATTAGATGATGAGTAAGAAGAGGAGAAAGCGGTACCTCCATAAATGGCTAAAGGTAGAAAAATTAACAAAGCAAATCAAATTATCTAAAATGAAGATGCAAAAATGGACTAAATTGAATAAGACTAAAATAGAATTGATCAAAATATAGAAGGAGGAGAAAACTAGCAACCTAAAAAGAGAGTTAAGAAGGCTGCGGCTAAGAAAGCAGCAAAGCCTAAGAAAGTGGTAGAGCCAGTACCGTTGAGAGAGGAAGTTGAAATACCAGATGTAATTAAGATATTTCAATCTTAAGATTAAGAACCCCAGATAAATTGTTGCCAGACATGTTCAAATAGGAATGGGATCAGATCAGTATTAATAAACTCAGTCGACTTATTTATAAAGTGCCAAAAATCCAGGGCCCATGTTTCATCATTGATTGAACAGATGGGACCAGAACTAAGATACAGTGCACTTGATAGAGCTGTATAGTTGAATAGACTTGACATCCTTGAGATTTTGCTTGATTAAAGCAAGCCAGAAAACGAATTTAGAATGAAAAAGAAGTCTTCATAAATTGTCAAATTCGAGACTGGAGAGGTTGGTCAAATGGCATTCGGATATAAAGTAAGAAAGGTTTAAATGATGAGAGGAAATAGATAAGGTAATAATGCATTCACTGAAGATCCGACTCACGAATATCAGACCCCTTTAGATTATTTGCTAAATGATTAGTACTGCATTGAAAAGTGCTTTGGTTAAGATGGAGTAAACAGACAAACTTTAGAATTGATTCAGAAGTTCTCTGGAGACAGGTTTATTCCATTTATATAAGAAAAAGCTTTGCCATTCATCTTAAGAAATGGTTGTTATAAAACTTTAGTAGCATTATTTGGTGTTCTTGGGTAAGCAGGAGATATTTAGAATAACTTCTTCAATGATGTTTACTATCAACTTCTGACAGTTGATAAAGTTGAAAATTTCAAGATTACTCCTCAATAATAATAACTAGCTAAGTAAAATTAAACAGTACATTACACTTATATTGCTGCTCTCAATCCTTCAGGAGTAGCATTAAGATATTTGAATTTAACTAAGCAAGATATTGAGTTTGATAATTCCAAACCATCTGCAGTATTCTATGCTGCTGTTTGCAAAAATGATGTTAATTTGAAAATTCTTAAGGATCTTGGAGTAAATTTTCATGGTTAGGATGATAAAAAATGCTCACCACTGATGTGGGCTTTAAGAGCAAGAGTACCTCTTTAAGTAGTTGAAACCTTATCTGAAGAGCTTAACTCTGCTCAATTTCATCATAAAGATGAACAAAAGTAAATGGCAATTCATTTCTTTTGTAAATATGGAGTTGATATGACTCTAGGCAAGAAGGAGAGATTTGATAGAATATAAGATTTTATGCAATTCTTTGTTGAATGGAAGGCCAAATTTAGCTAATTTGGAGGATGGAATAAGTTTACTCCTCTCATCTATGCCTGCACATATGGCAATATTGATATAGCAGAGTATCTAATTAAGAATATTCCAAGGCTTAGTATCAATAAAGGCGATAAATACAAGAGAACTCCACTTGCTATGAGTTGTAGAAATGGGCATGCAAACATTGCAGCATTACTAATCAAGCATAATTGTGATATCAATCTTGCTGATACATCTGAAAATTCTCCACTTCATTACGCTGCAGCATATGGTTGGATAGAGTGTGTTGAAGTCTTAATCAAATATGGGGCAGATCCAAGTCCAGATAATGCCTGGAAATCGACTCCAATAACGATTGCATTACAAAAGAACCATATTGCAATTGTCAAAGAACTTTTAAAAACATCTGACATTGATGTTAACAGCAAAGATGATGAAGGCAGAACTTTATTGACTCTAGCAATGGCCAATATTAATTTTGAATCTATTGAGTTCATAAATCATTTGATAAACTCAAAAGGTTCAGATGTTAATCAGCAAGATGCTAAAGGAAGAACTCCTCTATACATAATTGTTGAATCTCTAAGTTCTAGAAAGCAAGGTTTATTCTCTGATCATGATGCATTAGAGTATAAAATAGTTAAAATGCTTATTTCTTAAGGTGCTAGTTTGAATTTGAAAACTAAAGATGGAAAATCACCATTCTCTCTTGCTTTTGAAAAAGGAATGAATGAGCTTTTAGATTTATTTGGTAAGGAGATTGATCTTAATAAGGATCCATTTCTCCTCTTTGCTTTCAGTGGAATCTCGTGCATGAAGATATCACTTTAAGGGCTTCTAAAAAGTTGCTTCGACAGAACTAGAATTGAAGATGAAACTATTAATTTTGTAAATGACCAAGGATTTACCCCACTACTCTATTATCTCCACTAATTTGTATAAAGTAGAGATTAGATCCTAACAACAATTCAAGATATGATCGCCAAACACGAGAAATTTATTGATAATCAAAATATCATAGAAAAGATTGAATAAAATTAATAAGCAGCTAATTTGTTCATAAATCCCACTTAGAAATCCCTTGATATTTATGAAAGCCAAATCATTTAGCCATTCCTTAAATTCTTGCAAGTTCTAATTGACAATGGGGCCAATCCAAATGCCTACATTCTAAAACTTAAGTAGTATCGAGATGAGCCTTTACAGTAAACTTAATTGTCATAAATCTCATAATAAGTTGCAGCATAAGGTAGAAGACCACCAGAAAAAGATTAATATACTTCTGAGTTGCTTGGGTTATGCAGTGTTATTCATCTCCTAGTTGAAAACAATGTAGTAATTAGACCAGTATTTGATTTCTTCATTAATCTACAAGGTATTTAACTCAATCAAGTGAACTTCTAGAAGATGACACCTTTCTTTAAGTTAGTCAAAACTAAGAATATCAAAGATAATTAGGATCATAAATATTGCTTCGAGTAATTAATTAAAACAGGAAAGGTTGATATTGATGCACCAGATCAGTTTGGCATGTCCTCTTTCTGGTTTTTCTATTCTAATAATAGATTTGATGAGGCATTTTACTTGGTTTCTTAAGGGGCAAATATTAACCACATCGACAATTATGGCTTCTTTGCATTGAAGAAGGAACTCTTCAATAGTAACATAAATATGATTTAAAAACTTTTGGAAAAGAAGGCAAATCCAGATACTACAGATGAATTTTAAAGAACAATTTTACATTTATCTTGTGATTTTTCACACAGAAAAGACTACAAGGAAATTTTCAAGTTACTGATAAAGCATAATGCCAATATTTAAGCCCTTGACTTTAAAGCTAGAACTCCAATTCATTATATGTTTGTCAAGAAAAACAGAAGAGATGCTGTGGACTAATTTGATCCACTAAACCTTAACATTGGATTGGATATTTTGATTAATAAGGACACGATTAAAGATATCGATTTCAATCATTAAGATATCAATGGGAAATCATTACTTCATTATATGGCTCAAAGAGGTTCTACTGCTTCTCTGAAGCATTTCATTAAATTACTTGGTGTAGATAAGATAAACTTTAACATTGAAGATAAATATAAAAATACCCCATTATCAATTGCAATAAATAGCAGGCATTTCGATTTTGTTGAGTATCTAATCTAACTTCAATTAGTAAATCTAAAGGGATTTATTTATGATTAACCTAAATAACAAAGAGTAGGAAATTTAAACGATGATGAATAAAGCGATCTGGAGTTTATGTAAGTAGTTGATTAAAATGGAATTTAAATTTTGAATGGGCAAAAGGCAAAACACGACAAAGATGCTCTTAATCTATTCAGATATATTATCAGGAATCAGGTACAATAACTAGAAAAATTATTCATTGAAAACCAATATGATAGAATATAAATGGTGGTTGATTATATCTGCGAGGGCTAGATTGCTAAACTATTCCAAGTTATTGAAACTCATTTCAAGAATGTAGCAGGTGCCAAAGGATCTATCTTGATTTAAAAGAATGAGAAAGGGTAAAACTTGATTCATGTTCTTGCTAAAAATGCTCACCTTATCAAAAATATCTCAGAACTCACTAAATTTTATCAAATGCTTGTAAAAGAAGGAGTTGATCCTAAGGAACTTGACAACAAAGGAAGGTCTGCTCTCCATTTAGCAGTAAAAAGTGGAAATATTCATTTGATTTAATTCTTGGTTGATGTAGAATTATTTGATGTCAACCAAATAGATAATCAGGGTACAAATTCAATCAATTAGTTATTGAAAGGTGACAGAATAGTTACTGCTAATAAATCTATTCTGATTTATTTAATAAAAAAGGGAGGAGACTCGAATAATATCTACAATGAACGATTATATCAACCATTAATTAAGGAGGAAGATGGAATTTTTGAAGAATTAAAGCAAGATTTACTAGAGGAAACATATAAAACCACATCAGTTATTCATGCTATTAGACATGAAAGCAAGAATAGAGATAATATAAGAGTGATTCTTAAGAAATTACTGAAACATGCTAATCCAAGTATCTAGGATTCTGATGGAAAGGATGCTTTCTTTTATACAGCTATTAGAAATCATTACAATACTTTTAACTTCATTGTCAACTATATCTACGAAAAGAAGTAATCATACGATTCAATAGTCAAGGATAATATAGATAAGAATGGGAAATCTTTTATTCATTTCATTATCAATCCCTTAGAATTTGGATCATTTGAAAATTCAGATATTCTCCAAAAGGCTCTCGAAATCGGATTTAAACACAACATAAGAGACAAATAAGGAATGACTCCATATTAATAAGCATGCCTTTAAAAGAGTGGAGTTCTTATTCAGGTTTTCAAAGAGAATAATCTGGCAGATGAAGATCTAGCTGATGAGATGATTATTGATACAAATAGAAGGAATGATGATGCAGAAGAATAAATGAACATCGATTTTGAAAGTGATGCTTAGAGTTATCTTTAGTAGATTTAAATGCAAATAGACTCTACCAAATTCGTCCCTTGTGATCCATCTGGTAAATTCAATGATGATTGCATCGTTATGTATGATTAAGAAACTGAATAACACTTTGATGTTTACATGACCAGAGTTGAAATCGGGAAATTTTAACCAGGAGGAGATTATTTATTCTATAAAATGCAGCTAGTTCTTGACTAATCAAGGGATTTAGCTATACTTCTTACTAGGTGGGGAAGAATTGGAGAAGAAGGGGCATTCTAGAAAACACCATTTAGTACTCATGAAGAGGCCATTGATGAATTTAAGAAAGTATTTGAGTAAAAATCTGGAAACAAATGGTGCAAAGCTGATAATTTCCACAAGAAATTCAGGAAATTCTAACTTATGAGAACTAATTATGTCACTATTGATTAGAAAAATTATCTTTTACCCTTTGATTTGGAAAACTCAGCCCCTATCAATAATCAGTTCATTCACAAAAACTCTGTTGATATGCTAAGAGAAATTTGTGATGTTAATACCTATCTTAAAGCTCTTCAAAATTCTGGCGTTGATCCTAAGGCAATGCCTTTCTCTAATCTAGATAGATAAAATCTTTATGATGCTCTAGAAGTACTTAAAAAGCTCTAGGGTACCTTGAAAAAGCTTGAGTAAATGAATCCAAGACCCTATGCCGAGAATGAGAAAATGAAGCTACTCTAAACAAGAGAAAAGATGTGGTACCTAAGTAGTAGATTCTATGAATATATTCCTCATGAAGAATATAGAAATAAGATGGTTCCACCGATTTCAACTATGGATATGCTAATCTAAAAGAGTAGTATGATATAAAACTTAATTGAAATTGAGGCAGCCAGTAAAATGCTTCTTGGAGCTCACTTTAAGCAGGATCAAATAAATCCATTAGAGTATTGTTTGAGAGCCTCAGGTATTAGATTTGAGTATCTTGACATTTAGAAAGATTAAGGAGAGTATAAACTGATTCATTAATACGGCACTAATACCTATCTAGAGCAAAACAAAAAATAAATAAAGAGTATCATTAGGCTAACGAAGTATGATGAACAAAAGAAATTTAGATCAGATCTTGAAAATAGAAAGCTTTTGTTCCATGGTAGCAGAGTTTCAAACTTTTTGGGTATCATGAAGCATGGACTAAGAGTTTAACCAATTGAAGTTTAAAGAAATGGAAACTTACTAGGAAAAGGTATCTATTTCACAGACATGATCTCAAAGGCCATTCAATATACTAATGACTAAAATGCACCTTAACATGGTAGCAAATTTATTCTAGTTTGTGAAGTGTCTCTTGGTGAGTAGAAATAAGTCAAAAGATTCAATCAAAATTTTGTATTTGAAGAAGGTATTAACTCTATATAAGGCCAAGGAAGATAAGCCCCAGATGAAAAGATACTTGTAACATTACCAGATGGAGCTCAAGTTCCATTAGGTAAAGCTATTCCAATTCAAGGAAATGAAAACTCAGATTTCTAATTCAATGAGTATGTTGTTCCAGAAGTAGATCAAGTTAGAATGAGATATCTGATTTAGTTAAAATGAAGCTAAGTCTAATATATATATTGATATAGCTCGTATTGCTATTATTTATTTATCTTTAAGTATTTAACTCTTTAAAAATATTTTTGTTTATTTTATGTATAATAATCATTTTGGGGTTTTGGGGTTTTGGGGTCACAGCGTCC